CTAAACTTTGTTAATGTCATTTGTGGTGTTTGCAGATATGAGCACTAATCATTCTTTCGCGACGTCAACCGCTCGCTAAGACGCATAAATTTATTCTGGATGAAAATTGGCAGGTGTCGTATATACAACTTAGTAGGATAGTAATATAAGATAAAGATTTGACTGTTGCTGAAAAATCGAACATCTGACGATTGTCAATTTTTCCAATGGATCAATGAAGATGCATCAACAGCCCAATACGGACTACTGTCATTGTGGATGTGGGGGTTGGCCGAAGAATATTATTCACCACTCGTCAGAGATTCAGGATTTTGTTATGTCCAAATTAATGAAGAATCCCAATAAGTCGATTTTCTGAGAATCTGATCGAAATATCTTTTGAATTGCCAGTCGATCATCTCTAGATATGAGGTTTGGCTATCACCTTGCTAGTAAGAGTTGAACGACCGAAAGATGAATCCTATGGCGATCACTCGAAAAGTGGGCCCTCTACTTGCCACATCCCTTCTCTTGCAGCCATTGGATCCGGGCACCCCTTTTATGTGCACACCTAATATTTTCCAGAAAAATATGATAAATAAGACATATAAATACAAATGAATTCTATGCTATGCCGAAAACGAGGCGTACCTTCCGCACCCTCCTCCACGCGTGCCTTCCTGCACCTCGCGATCTCCCTCCCTCCCTCCTATCTCCTTTTGCCTGGAAACACCGATTACCTTCCCCTTCCTACCTCATGATCGAAACACACAGTCGCGACTATAGCTAGCTGGAAGGCAACGACGGGAGCATGTATCTTTCTTCTCTGACATGAAACCATTGCGAAAGGTAACCTTCGTCTCTATCCCATAAATCCATCTTCCGAAAACCTGTAGCTTAAATCCTGCTCTGATGTACTTGTGAAGCTCAATAGAATTGCAAATGCAAACAGAAGATAAAGTATATGTTGTAAATTTCTTAGATTACATATCTATAACCTTTTAATTTGTTGTATGCAACCGAACAGCCCCTAAGTTCTAAATCACGTTAAGTTTATTTTTTATTTTTATTTTTTTGACAGATCGAGGGTTGTTCGGGATTAGGGTTTCGTTAGGTATTTAGAAGAAGGGCGTAATATTACATACGGGAGATACGCGCACCTTCACGATGAGCGCCAAAAAACAAAAAAAAAATTCTAGAAACTTCATTTTATATAACGGTCATTTAATCATAGATACCTTAACTGTACCGACTGGAGCACCAGAAAGACTGCTCTGGGTGGTATCAATTATTATTATTATTCCTTGTTATGGCCATGGGGATTATGCGTTGAATTTATCTATTTATTTCATTTTATAAAATTATATATATGTATATATATATAATATTAATTAAAAGTAAATATATATATTCTGAATACTTAATTTGATAGGAGTTTATCTATATATTTTTTATTAGGCATTTAAATATATTATAGTATTCATTTAAATTATGTTTTTTTTATATTTGTTTGTTTTAACTAATTTATTTTTATTAAGGAAGTGTCTGAAACTTTATTTTACAGGTAAGTATGTTCTTCCATATTTTAGAAATCACAAAGTGCAATAGTAACTAAAGGAGCGGCGACCTTGCGATGAAGACTAATGACTGCCAATTGGTGGTAGTTGACGATTATAAAAGTTGAAAGTTTATTTTTTTGAATTTTCAGTAAAGAACAACACTGAAGAGACATTTTGATCTATCAGCTAATAGGTCCCGTAATTATCTCATTGAATGGTCCACATTGATATATCCATATTGATAAAAGAGCATATTTTATGATCGGAGCGCCTGAATGACATCAATATCGAGTGATTTTGATCTCGTAGGATTCTTCTTTCAATTTCATTATAGACGCATCACATGTTGAGTTCATTTGACCCTCTGATCAACCACATACCCAAAGCCTCTAAATATGTTTTAATACCTAGATCCGTGTTTTATTAGAGTTGGATTAGACTATTTTTTGAATCATCGGATTTAGGGCCCGTTTGGGGCAGCTTAAAACTGTGGCCCGCGTTTTCGTGTTTGGATCGCACGTTTCGTGTGCGTGCCTAAAAACAGTGTTTTAATTTTGTGAAAGACGCGGCCCACGGGATGACCCCCATGGGCTGCGTTTTCGATCGCTTATTTCCTTCGGTGCCCCACCCCGCGTCTCCTCCCTCGCTCGCAAGAGACCACCTCCCTCTGTGAAACCTTAGCAGTTTGCGATCTAGGAGCTTTCCATGGAGTTTGAGGAGGTGCAGAATGCGGCAGCGACGACCCCAAGCAAGACAATCTCAATGATCCCTCTCCTACAACGCAAAAAGGCCAGGTAACAATTGCGATAATTTTCGGGTTTTGGACATGAGAGATAGCAGGGAAGATGGGGTTGAGGCAGTGTCAGCTAAGCTTCTTTCCATCTTTTCTTGTTGTTTACTTTCATTTACCTCTATATAGCACAATATCTGATGTTTCCTCCACTGTAAAGAAAACTTGGTCTTACTGTTTTGTTGGCTCCGCATCTCTTTCATCACAGAAGCAAAAAAGGGTCACCAAACTATCCCTTCCCGAGCATAAAAAAGGTTGGTTTGTTTTTTTGCCCTTCTATTTTCCTTGTTGTGAACGTTTCTTCTCTCTGTTTTTTCTTCCTAAATTGTTTTACTGCATTAGTTTATGTGCCTTCTCTGCTTAGAAATTGCATTTTTTGTAGTTTTGCATTTGGTACTTTCAATGTTGGGCACTCTTTGAGCTTGTGTTGCGTTGGGATTCCTTTGGTTGTTAAAGGATCCAACATTTTTCTAGAATCCTTGTCATGGTAAGCAAGCGTAGATGCTTCATCTTTGATTTCCTCCGATTTAAAAATATGGATAGGACAATAAGAACAAATATTAACAAAGTAACACAACTGATGCCAATCGCTGCCCATAGCTTCAAATCAAGAAAGATCTTATGCTTTAATTTGGCATTTAGACCATCTTTGGATGACATTTTTTTTTCAATTTGCCTGCATTAATAGGAGCAGCAACAGTAGGATTTCATGAAATTTAGCTAACTGAAGAAAATCAAAATACTATAATGTGAATTTGGATATCAACCATAGAAGTAGAAATGTAACAATAATGATATAAACAAGTTTGTCATTGTTAGAAGGACACATGAGAGTATATCTTAGCTTACAATGTAATGATAAGAAAATACAATATTTAAAATGTTACTCTCTAAAACTTCCAATTGCAAATAAAATTGTCAGATTGGTCATTTACCTAAAAAAATTGCAAATCAGCTGTTTTCAAAACGCACAAACAAAACAATTAAATATCTTATCTAAAATATGGGCAAATTGATCATTTGTCCAGAATCAACTGTTTTCCAAACGCACAAACTAAACAGTTAGTCAGTTTATCCGGATCAACTGATCATCAACAAATTATTAGGATAAGCTGCTCATCAACATATTATCAAGATAAATTGCTTATCAACATAAGCTGAATAAGCTGCTGCTGCCCCAAACAGACCATTATTTTGTTGAGATGGTCAATTTGACTATAAATATATAAAAATTGCAGAGATTTAAATGGTCTTGAATTTGAATCAAACATTTTATCCAAAAATAAGTGACTAATGTTAAACAGTTGTGTATCGTACTACTTTCCCTAAACATGAATATTTAAATGTGAGATATAAATATATACAAATGCCTCCATAAAAGCTCGAGACTTATCTATCATCCCGAAAAATCATTACATCCGGACAGCGCATGCAAAGATGAATGAGGTGTCCGATATACACCGTAGATCACAGTGATCTACGGTGAGTATGCAATCAATTTTTTTTTTAAATAATTATAAAAAAATTTAAAATGGGGTCCACTGAAATACATCCTCACCGTAGATCACCGTGATCTACGATGTGTACTACGATGTGTATCGGACACCGCATGCATCTCTGCATGTGGTGTCCGTATGCAATAATTTTTACTATCTTCCCTAATTGCCCCGTCTCATAACCTCTCTCACTCCTCAGTCCTCTCCAGTTTTCGCCTGAAAAGGAATCATTTCTTCTACCCACAATTCTTGTCACCTCCCCTCCTCCTCACCTCGTTAAGGCATACGAAGAACTCCGAGTCTTTCATGTTTCTCCTCCTTCAGTTCAGCTCCTACCCGAAACCATTGAGAAAGATACTAACCCTCGTCTCTCTCTCCCATAAATCCATCTTCCACGAACGGATTTATGCTATTAGATTCCAATGTTTTTTGTTAATTAGATTCCAATGTTTTTTTGCTATTGTCATGTTAATTCATTGATTATGTATCTATAGCCAACCAAATGGCCCCTAGGTTGTGTGAGAACGGGAGAGAGAGGTTCCATTTACTAAATCCTACGACTCACAGAGGTCATTTTGGTTGCAAGTAGGATTTATTTGCAATACGATCGAACAAATTTTGTAAATTCGAATTTATCAAATCCCGAAGTGAATACAATTTGGTGTATCGGTAAGTAAATCATAATAAATCTTGAGAAACAATTTGACAATTTTAAAAAAATATAAAAAAATTCATCAAAGAGAACATAAAAATAAATATTAAATAAAAAAATATAAATGAATATCCAAAGCCAATTGTAAACCGACATTTACATTAACTAATAATTATTATAAATTTAATAATTAATAAATTTTGTGCAGACAAGTTAATTATTAAATAATAGTTTTATATTAATCAACTTTTAATTATATAAATTATAAATTACTTAAAATTTTATTAAACAATTGAAAAATTAAATATATTTTTATTCTTTAATTAAATATTAAGTAATTACATATAAATTATCTAACTATTATTAATCGCATAATATATAAAGTAATAACTAATTATTAATCATTTAAATTAATAAAACTAATTTTAAAAAAATAAATTAAAACCACAGCTAAATCTTCCTCTCCCCCTATGCCCGGATCGTAAATGAGTTGCGTAAATGAGTTGATTTCCGGTCCGGATCGGATCCCGCACGCGGGTTGCGTGCGGTGTCCGATCCGCATGGATTAATTTTTCCTATGTATGCCCGAAGCCCACGCCTGCATCTTCCCCCTCCCGGTTTCGCCCGAAATCATCGACTTCATGATCGAAACTCTGCGATACACTTGCCATCATAGCTAGCTGGGAAGGCAGCGCCGGGATCGTGGCTTACAGAAACTAGTGGAACTCCCATCTTTCTCATCTGTCCGCTCCGGTCTGCTCCTACAAGAAACCATTGAGAAAGGTAAGCCTGTTCGCGCCATTCTTCCTCTTCGTTCATCCCGGATTTACTGAATCCCCCAATTTACGGGATTCAGTAAATCCCGGATTTTGGGATTTAGGGAGGTTTTTTTGGCCGTTTGGCAGGATTTAGCTTAAATCCTGCTTTAAACCGGTTGCCAAACAGCCCCTAAAAGAGCTATTATCTGTTCAAATAAAGAACCGATCATGTCAGCAAGTCTCTCTAAATCTATCTGTCGATGGCAACGTAGCAGGAAAAAAGGGTTTGTGCTGCCCGCCCTCATTTTTGCTACAATCAGAATCTTCAAATGAATATGCTACAATTGGGCTTGGCGGTCGTCTTGGCGTCTGGCCTCGCATCCATCATTGTCTTCATCACCGGCGTCTCCAACTTTTGTGAGTTTTAACTTACTCCTTATTACTGCGGCGCTGCTCTACCTGTCGGCGTTTTTACTAGATTTTGCATGCTTTATTAAAGTAATGGTTTTGGTATTCATATCTCCTGCAGATGGAGGCTCGAGAGTTTCGTATGAGGAGCTGAGCGCCATCATATCGCTGCGCAGCGGCGTTAGAAAATGTGTGGTGAGTGCGCTCTGTCGACTTAAGGTTAAAGTATCAAAGTGCTTTGTATGTAAATATAAAACTTTAGATTTGAGATATGTAAATACATAAGAATTGTGTGCTAGGCATGTAAATTTCCCATTTTTTTTAACAGAGCATGTTGATAAGAGCATCAAACTACTATTTTTTGAAATTTGCATGTGGCATATTTGTGATAAAGTGTCCTGTAGCGTGAAGTTATTTCTAGTGTTAGTTAGCATCTCTATTGAATGTTTGTGCTTCATAAATGGACACAATCAAACAGATGTAAAATGAAAATAATAGGAATTTGAAATTGCCATAACAAAAATAATTACTTTTCTGAACCACATATAGGACCTAAAGAATATAAGAAATCACTAATTGTCATTCTAGAATGATAATTATTTGTATTTGCTTCCATGGGTTTTATGCAAAAATTCTTCTTTTGCTGATGGCATGTAATTATTGCAAAGTACAATTCCAAATGCCATATAGCATATCATGCTTATTTCTCAACCAAACATCTGCTTACTAATTGTTGAATTTTTTACCTTTGATTAATGAAGACTTGAATATAACTTTTATAACTGTTGTTGGCCATATTTTCACTAATTTGCTAATCACTGCTCAGAAAGTATTATCTTCAACTTAATAAAATTCCTTACATAATTTATTGGCATAGTTTTAGAATTAGTATTCAATCTAACATCAACTATGAATTTAATTGTCTGGGCTTAAAAGTTAGAACAATCAGTAGTTCCTTTCCTCTTCAAAAATGTGCCTGCTACAAACCTTGATGTTGAAGATTATTGATTTTGTTTAAAACTATTCATAACAGGTTGAAAGAAAATAATTCATTTTTCTTTATGAGAAGTTTGTGTTATTTGTTATTTATTTATTTTTGTAGTTTTCTATATTTGATAAATTTCTTTATTTTTATGCTGATTTAAATTAGAAAAAAATATTTTTTGTCGTGATAGTGCAGAACTCAAATGGACTAGGTTTGCAGGCTGTCGGCGGTGGCGATGTTTGTCAAATTTCAATCAAGTTCCCGAGCGACACAATTTCAAAGTGGGTAAGTTTTCTCCGTTCATTTTTGCTAGAACTTACTGATTTTGATGAAGATAACAACAGAGGGATATATTGTAGCATAGTTCTTTTCACATTTGAACACTGTATGCCATATTGTTTTATTTTTATTTTCACTTTGAAGGTAAGAAAATGTACATAAAATGAAATATTGAAGTTTAGAGATCCTACATTTAAATGTATTTTATTTTAATCATAAATCTAAGCTGTTTCATTTATGGAATTTACGTACCATAGTTTGTACTCTTTACCTAGTCAATAATAACTTATTTTTCTTATAGGTTATGCTTAACTAGACTTTCTTATCCTCTGGAGATTTTAGTGCTGAACCCACCCAATCATCAAAATTGCAGTTCTTCACCCTTAAATTTTTTTCTTTAAATTTAGCTCAGTATTCTTATTTTTTCTTTGATTCTACATTTAACAAAACAGAAAGATCCCAAGACTGGAGAACTTGAAGGTTTATCGTTTGACTTCAATCTCTGTGAAGCAGTATCTACGTGGGAGCAAGTGGGTTTATTTGTCTTATAAAAATGGTAGAACATTAAAATGGAACGAGTATTTTGGCTTTATGGCGACTAATTATTAATGTTATGTTTACCTACCAGGTCCGCAACAGCACTACCATACTTACGAAGGAGTACATTGACGCTCTACCAAATGGGTGGGAGGAGTATGCCTGGCAGAGAATCAATAAAGGGGCACTTCTGTAAGTAAATTTTCATATGGATTAGAGTGATGATTTGCATTATTGGGATACATAAACTACTTTAATATCTTGCATATCAGAAGATGTTTCACTTCTGTAGTTTATCTTATTTAAGGAGCATTTACATACATAGCACAAAATTCTTTTACCTAAACTTTCATATTTATACACATAGCACTCAAATCTTTAATATCACATAAGAAATAACACTATTACCATTTTTTAAAATTAAAATTCATATTTTTTTATGCATAGATTTAAAGCATCAAAATGTTATACATGTAAATATGAAAGTTTTTGTGTGGGATATGTAAATACAATAGAATTGTGTGCTACGTATGTAAATTTCTATTTATTTAAATATCTTTGCAAGAAATAAAATGATTCCTATTCAAATCTATATTTATGTTTTGTCTACTATTTGCTAGTCTTCTCTCACTCATTTCTATTATTATTATTATTATTGTTTTTTGGCATTATTTGATGTGCCAGCAACCGTTGTGAGAACAAGACATTGTGCATGGAAAAACTTTCACTGGTAGTCCCTGTAAAACCACCACTCTTGCCACGACAGTTCGTTCGTTGTGCAGTTGTTGGTAATTCCGGAGATCTTCTGAAAACAAAATTTGGAGATGAGATCGACAGTTATGATGCTGTTATTCGAGAAAATGGCGCTCCAATCCAGGTCTATTCTACTTTCTTGGTATGTTTGTGAAATATTATTGATCAACTATTTACGATTATCTCACAGAATTGCAGAATTACACGAAATTTGTTGGTAGGAAAAGTACATTTCGGCTGCTCAATAGAGGATCGGCAAAGGCACTTGATAAAGTTGTAGAGTTAGATGGTATCCAGTTGCACTTATTTTTTCAGTTTTTCTTTTTAAGTTAGATTTGTGCTGAGTTTTTTACATCGAACAGAGCAAAAGAAGGAAGTTCTTATTATCAAGACTACAATCCATGATATTATGAGCAAAATGATAAAGGTGCGAGCTATTATTTGATATTAATGTAAAATTTTTCTTTCTTCTGAAACATTTATGTGCAATTGTTTGATTAATCTCTGCTGCAATATAATTCATGTTTGTGCACGATAGATTTAACGTGCTTGTCATGTTAATTAGATGTGACATGATTTTTTTTTCTTTGATTGTCATCCATAGATTGTGAAGAACTAAAAACATAATTATTTACCTGATTGCTCCAATTTTTGTCATGTTACTAAACAATCTGTTTCATTAATGAAGTGGACCAATATGTTCCTAGTTACAAAGTCGCGGGAATGAATTTCGAGGGATTGTAAGTTTGAAAAAAAGTCAAATTCAAGAGACCAATTCACACCGTTCTTTTTCTTACTCGTCACGGATCCAACGAGCTTTACTTGATATGCTGAAAACCAATGAGTTTTATATTAGAAAACTTTAGGTATAGCCAGCAGAAAACAGCGATTGATTAGTGATGCCCTTTTGGGGAATTTAATCAGGAACATTTTGTGCCAGCATGACTCTAGTTATGATTCTTCAATGTTAGCTTGGGGTGCATATATTGTGTTATTTATTTATTTTTTATTTTTTTGCGGGGGACTTACATTTTACGTTTATACCACCTAGTCTTTCATATCACATAAAAACATACTACTATTTTAGCTTTTAGAAAGTGAAATACACCTTTTCATGAACAGGCAAGGTAGCATATGTGTAAAAATTAAAGTTTAGGTGTTAGATATGTAAATACATAAGAATTAAGTGGTATATATGTAAATCTTCCTTCTTTTTTTTCCCTCTTGTACCTCTCTGCCTTTTCTTTTTTCATTTTACTGTGAGGTTTAGTGGAGCTCTTAGCTGCATATGCTCTTAAATTTTGTTAATTTATAATTCTCTCTACAGGAAATTCCAATTCATAATCCTGTATATCTTATGTTGGGCACCTCTTTTGGTTCTGCTGCCAAAGGAACTGGGCTGAAAGCCCTCGAATTTGCTCTTTCTATATGTGATTCTGTTGATATGTATGGCTTCACTGTGGATCCTGGCTACAAAGAATGGTAAAGATAAATGAAGATTTACATACCACATAATTCCTATGTTTTACATATCTAACACCTATTCAATTTTTACCTTACCTATACATGAAATGTTGTGTTTCATATTTTAAAAGTTAAAATGGTGGTGTTTTTTATGTGATATGAAAATTTAGGCGGTATGAGATACTGAAAAGAATAGAAATTGGGTGGCATGTATGTGTATGCCCCAAGATAAAATAGTACTATCTTCTCCTTAGAAGCGGCTTTTGTTAGTATTAGCTCCGTTGAGCGAGATTATTATGCAATTTCTTCAGGACAAGATATTTTTCAGAGTCCAGACAAGGACATACTCCATTGTATGGAAGAGCATACTACCAGCTAATGGAATGCCTAGGAGTAAGTTCCAAGGTTTCCTGTTGATCTTTAGCTATTATTTAGTTCATGCAGGCTTAATTTTTTCTACTTCAAAGCTTGTCAGGATCCACTCTCCAATGAGGGCAGATTTTAACAGGGTGGTTGATTGGCTTCCAAGTCCAGGCACAATTGCTGCTGCTAGAATTGCATCAGAGAAACTTTTGAAGTAATCTGACATACAACTTTATGTCATTAACTGCCTTATTCCCCTTTTGTTTTTCATTCGTATCGCAAAGTGGGCCGCCAGCTATAGTGCATGTTGCTCACCTGAACTATGTGGGATCAATTTTATGTTCTATCTTACAACATTTGGTTCACACAATCCAAGATTGTGTTTTATGTTTACCAATATTTTTGTTTTTTTTTTCCCCTGTATTGTTCATGCTTGAACTTCACCGCTTTCTGTCCTATGTTCAGGTGAACAAAGTTGAGATTTACATCATAAATTTTTTATAAGATTTGCATACATACCACTTAATTCACATGATCTAACAATTAAAATTCAATTTTTACATATATGCCGTCCTATCCATGTCTGAAAAGGTCTATTTCACTTTTCAGAAGGTAAACTGATGGTATTTTCTATGCGATATGAAAGATTTGGGCTGTATGAATGAAAGTGTAATAAGCAAATTTTAGATGTTTGTTATGTAATACTTAGAAACTGTGGAATGAATGTAAGTGCCCCAATTTTTTTATGGAATATTTACATGCATATTGCTTAGTTCCCATGCATTTACATATCTAACTCCTAAACTTAAATTCTTACATATAACCCATCTTATCTATGCATAAAAAATGGTTTTTTTTTTTAAATGTGATATGAAAGATTTGTATGTAAATGCCCCAATTTTTCTATTAAAATTAACGAAATGAATTTAAATTTGATTTTTTTCCCGGACTCATAACATTTATCGATGCTCATTTTTTGCAGGCGAGTAGGAGCTGGTGCGGGAGAGCCATGGGGCCCATGCTCCATCATCAAAAAGAGAGACAGGGGGAAGAAGACAGCAGACTTGTCTGAGTTTCGTGATGCTGTTTTGAAGCACCAACAATACGTGAGAGGCGCAGCCATGTATCCTCTGGAGCGAAGTCCTGGCCATGGTATGCTCTGCATCATCCCTGATGCTTAAAATCAGTCCTCATTTTCCCCAGGCGTGCAATTCCTTCTACAGATTTCTACTGATATTATTTACAAATCTGCCATTACCATCCAATTTTTTATACTTTTTTGAGGCTCATCTGTTTAATGTAATAAAATTTTGGAAAATTTTTACGGTCTTGCACAGAAATTTTGATATTTACATGCATACACCTAAACTTATGTATGAAAAGTTGGATTTGATTTGTGAACGGTGATGATTAGTGTTAGTTTGATGTGATAGGAAAGAATTGACTAGTATATGGGTAAATATGAAGATTTGGGGGTGTGATATGTAAATTTAGAAGGAGTTGTGTGCTGTGTATGTAAATGCCCCCTAAAAGTTATTAGTTTTGAAACTATATGTTGGCTATAAAAGCAACCAAATGGGATCTTAATTACAGCTTCTTAATCTGAATTCTATATTTTTTATTGAAATCTGGAAAATGCAAATTGATATGATTTGTTTTTATACATGCATACAGCTCATTTCCTATGTATTTACATATCTATCAAAACTTTAAATTTTGAATGCCTGGACTACCTTACCTCTGCGCATGAAAAAGGTATGTTTCACATACTTTTAGTGTATTTGCATGCATACCACACAATTCTTTATGTATTAACAACACATATCAACTACCCAAACTTCAATTTTACCACTCGATTTCTATGTTTTCAGTATTAAGTTTGGGTGGTTGATATGTCAATTCATAGGAATTCGGTGGGAGTTATGTAAATTTCCCTTTATTTTTTTCTAGATTGCGTTGCCTAATGTTATATTAGGACATGTTTGTTTGTTGGATTTATTTCTTGTTTATTGACATTAATTTTTCATATACAATTTTACTTTTAAAGCAAATACAAATACATATTACCCATTTCTTATGTATTTACAAATCTAACTCTTAAATGCAAATAAACACATTTTCATCACTATCTATGCATAAAAAAAGTGTATTTCATCATGGAAAAGTTAAAAATGTCATATTTTTTATGTGGTAATAAAAAATTCATTTTAGTAAATATAAAAATATAAATTTATAGGATGATGCAGATAATATTAAGATGTTTATTTTGTAAAGGTATAATATTTAAATTAAGATTGAAATAAAGCATGATCTGACGACCCTTTCAGGCTGTTGCACTGAAAATTCAAGTTTATATCAATTTGAGTTTTTATTGCAAAAATATGGTATATCCACTGTATCTTGTTGAAAAAAATAGTGATATGCACAGCTCATAAATGGGATGTGGTATATGTCCATCTTTAATGTTGGTCTTGACATTTCTGTTCATATAGTTATGAAAATTGCAATGAGACGAGCTAGACGGGTGAGTTTGATTGGTTAGTCCGTCATGTCTAACAGATATACCAGTTCTAAGAGTTGAGACATCACGCTAGGTCCCCTAGGGGCCATGAATTTGGTTGGGTATGTGCTTTGGCCCGAAGAACCCAATTACTAATGTGCACATACAATCGAAATAAAATAGCTTGGCTTAACTAAAAGAAATAATTAACTACAATAAACATTTCTTCCTTCAATCATAAAGCCCATATAGAATAATAAACTTATTCAATTTAAATTATATTTATTTAATCTATTAACAAAATAACTTAGAATAGTACAATGCAATTCTTATGTATTTACAAATGTAATACTGATACTTTATTTTTCTTATTTAAAATACTAAATCATTCATATCACATGAAAGTATCACTATCTTTAACTTGAAAATAAAACTAAAAAATTAATTTCTTAGTAGGGTGGCATATAGGTAATAATTGACGTTTAGGTGTTAAGATATATAATTTTATTAAAATTAATGGATATTTATATAAATATTCCTTTAAATAAACATCCAAAATCGCCCCGCCGGTCCGAAAATTAGAGGACCGACCGGACCGGTAACAGACCTCCCTATTCAATATCTGTACATTTTCGCTCGAGACTCCCCGTTTCTAACCGGGCTTTCGGGTTTCGCCATCTTTGCACTTCTCAAATCGTGATTCTGCCAATCGCCCTCATTCCGATCCGATAGGTTTTCTAATCGATTGATACAGAGCTTCGGCGACCAATTTCCTAGGTCCTCCAGGGTATTGCGTTGCAAAAGATTGCCGATTTTGCTTGTTTCGTTTCAGCTGATTCGAATGAAAGTTTCGGAGTATTTTTTCGAGGGAATTGACCAAGTTGGAGACTTTTTGTTCTTTTTGAATATCGAAAACGTGTTTCCTTGATTTCCAGGCCTGTTGGTAAGAATTGCTTGTTGAAATGGGATAATCTACTGCTGTGCGCCATGAGAGATCGACCAAAAATACCTCCTTATTTTTTCTTCAAATAGATTTCAGCTTTGAATGTTTGCTGGACCGGCAAGAAGGAAGTTTTGATGTTTGCCAGTGGAGATAGATGCTGTTTGTTACTGCGGGAAGTAGGTTCGAGATCAAGCAGTGTGCTTTAGGATTATGTTGCGGTGCCATTGAAATCTGAGGTGGATATGGTGGCTTCCCAGCTAATGAAAGTAGCTGGGTTCATCCACTCAACTCTCTCAGGTTACTCAACGCCAGCATGGGCAGCAGCCATTGCTGGTGTTTTTGTGATTACTTCAGTATCGCTTTCCATGTTTCTTTTGTTCCATCACCTATCAGCGTGCAAGAATCCGGAGGTTCATTTATGCTTCTATTTTCCAGTGCTTGTTCATTTATTGAACGCAGTTCGTGATTATCGATTACTTTGGTGTTTTGTATGCTTCTATAGGAGCAAAAGTTTTTAGTCGGTGTTATCTTGATGGTCCCTTGCTATGCTGTTGAGTCGGTATGAACTCCCCTCTAAAGAATTCCTGTTTAAATCTAGCACATTCTTAATGCTTTGAAGAAGGTTTAGTTCATCCCTTGGATGCAATATTTTTATGATCGTCTATTTACAATTTAATAGGCTAACTGTGATATATTCCAGATTAGTTCATCTTGTTTTGCATGAATAACTTTCTATGTGCTGTAAATATCAATAATTGTCATCATTGTTATCATTAAGGAATAAACGTAATAAGATTTATTTATTTTTCTATATTTAGAGTTTAAAATGTAGAATAGCTCTAGGTTCTTCTCTAGAAGGCTTAGAAATTGTTTAAGATGCTACTGCGTCTTCAATTTTAAGTGCCAGCAGTTTATTGTCTATTTGTTTGTTATCATTTCGTAAATTAGTGAAAATGTCTCTCTAGATCATTAGCTACGTTGATGATGCTTCAAAAGGAGTCCGATAATTTCTTTTACAGAATTCTGGAACGTCACAGTTATGCTATTTTTGGGGATGAGCGGTGTATATATAGAAGGAAAAATAGCTTTAGAAAGTTTTGGTGAATTGGTTGAAATATGGGCCATTTTCAGTTTCTTAACATGCCATCTTCAATTCCAAACTGTTGCACCTAAATGTGGAATTGGATGCTCTTTAATAGTGGTGATAAGAGATAAAGATAAAGATGAAGATTCATATTCAAGAGGGCTGATTAAAATTGATAAAGCTTTTGATTTGTTTTTTAAAGAGTATTCATTAAAGAAATAATCATCCTAGTGTCATTGTTGTGTGGATCTGAGTGCTTGGAATCAGGCTTAGACAAATTTATTCGTTAGTTGTTAGCAAACTTGTGAAATGGATTTACAATAAAACTATGATATCTATGGAGCGAAGTGACTACAATTAAGGAGATTAAATTGAAATTTGAATTGGGTAGTTGATAGATACTTGTTTGAGATTTACTGGACAATGCATAGTGGGAAATAAAAGTTTCTATTTGCCTTATGTAAGATATTAGCAGAAGTTCAGGGTGCCGGGGCTTTCAACATTTTGTTAGGGACATTGATTGAGATTGTGGGAACTAAAAATTTCCAATGCTAGGTTTTGAGCTATTATTATAAGAGAAAGTTGATCCAAAGTTTCTTCTTTCTTTGTTGTTGAAGTTCTTTAGCTAAACTCTTGTTAACAAATTCAAGAAATTACTTGATCCATGTAAAAGCCATGATATTCTAATTTTCTGACATCCATAGGTGATTAGGTTCTCCCTAATTGCTTCTATTAAAATATGAAATCACAATTTATTTCCGCACGAGTAAAGGTCATTTGGGAGGCAATCTGACCATTATGTTTAGCTTTTTCGTTTCTATTGTTGTTATATTGAACTTGTCAATCATTTGATGAGGCTTGAATCCTTGTATCTGGCGGGATACAAATTTACAATTGTTTTATCTTACCGTTTTTTCTCTGTTGGTTGTTAATGTGTTAGGGGCTTTATTTTCCGTGCAATTATGCCAGTAAACCAAATGGTCAGGCTATTTAAAATTTTCTTGCAATATTACTTTTTAATGCATCTTAGTAGAATTGCATAATTAAGCTCGTAGTGGCATGCCTATCTTCTTAATTGTTAGTGTGTGTGGAGCTTGACAGCACATCAACAACAACACCCAGGGCATTCCAACGCTCGAATGCCATAGGGAAGCCCCAACGCTGAAGAGTGAAGCCCTGATACCAATAGGCCAGGCTCCCTGTGAATCGGGCACTGGGAAGTCATGCACCTTGAATGGGCACAACTACATCGTGGAATGGTCGTTTCCAAGTTCCATTAGAGCATTTAGAATTTTGGTGCTCCCAGAAGAACGAATTTAGACAAAGCATGTGGAAATGCAGTGCTCGGGAGTGGAGCTCCAAGGCCATGAGCAGTTTCTTATCTATCATAATTCAATTCCCTCCCAATTACAGGTTGAATTAAATAGAAGATTTAAGCAGTTTAAAGGCAATTTTAAGATATTGATAGATGAAGAAGAGTAAGCCGGAAGAAGATAATTTTGGAGCTATCAAATTTTGGTATCAAAGTCAAATTTCTTGAAGGTAATCAATTTAAACCCGCGTCATCCCCCACTCCTACCTAATTTGTGACTCTTCCTTTGCAGAAGTGAACAAAATCCTGAAGTACCTACATTATTGTCGGCACTATTTTTGGTATGAGGTTTGCTCGTAAGAAGCTGTCGGTCATCAAAATTGAAATTCCGTTGCCAGCTTCGGAAGGACGTTTTAAAAATTTTTATTTTTGAAAAAGATGAAGTCAAACTGACCCCATAATTT